TTTAGACAAGATATGTCTGTATCTTGTCTTGTGAATAACTATTATGAAGACAATATACAATGTATCAATTATTGTAACTGTCCTACTAACCTGTCTTGAAACTGTTTCATTGCCATTTTTCTCATTAAAATGAATAAAAACTTTAAAAAAAAATAAAAAATAAAAATAATGAAACTGAACTCTCATACATTGCATATAAGGATGTAAAATGTTGGCAGCCACTATGGAAAATAGGTTGAGAGTTTCTCAAAAAGTCGAAAAGTCCTGCATACATACATAAATATATCTTTTTCCCTTCTTCAGTTGTGCTTTTCCTTATCCCATATTTATTACACATGCAGGATAGCTTGGATAATGGTACTGCTGATTTCTGCTAGTCTATTGAAAAGAGTAGTTAATGCTTAATATTTTTTCTTCTGCTTTTTAATTTCTTATATCTTTTTTCAAATTTTGCATGTTTATATCTGGTAATCTAAACAACTAATTTGAAGATAATGTGCAATACACCAAGAATTGTCAAATTGCTATTATTTTGTTTAGTGAAATTCTATATTGTCTCTAATGGTTTTTTTTTTTTACCACTTTGTATTCTCTTTAAAAAATAAAAATAAAAATAAATAGTTGAACGGTCACATAAAACCCAGCAATACCATTCCTAGGTATATAACCAAGAACTATAATTATTCAGATACACAAATTCTTGCACATGAATGTTTGTAGCAACATCGATCATAATAGTCAAAAAGTAGAGACAATTAAAATGTCATTAATAAAGAGATAAACTGGGGTTGGGGAGATAGCTCAGAGGTGTAAACGCCTGCCTGCCAAGCACAAGGACCCAGGTTCAATCCCTAGTACCACATTTTATAGCCAGCCACTAATACTCAGAGTGGTGGTGCACACTTATAATCCCAGTATGGGGGAGGTTGAGATAGGAGGATTACTACAAATCTGAGCTGGATATTGAGACCCTATGTCAAATAAATAAATAAAGATTTTTTAAAAGAGATAAACTGGTCTAGTGATACATCTATACAATTGGATATCGCTCAGCCTTAGAAAGACACAACACAGCAAACTTTGAACATACCATGCTATGCGAAAGAAGCCCAACACCAAAGCCATAGAGTTTTTTAATATGAAATACCCATAATAGGCAAATCCATAAGGACAAAAAAAAAAAAAATAGACTGTGGCCGGCCAGATAGCTCAGCAGACTAAAGCACTTGCTTAGCTAGGCACAGGGTCTGGAGTTCAATCCCCCGTGTGTCATGCCAGCCTTGCCCCCAGGGCACACTGAGATGGCAATTGAGACTGGGTGTGGTGGTATGTACCTGTCATCCCAGGGCTTGGGAGGCTGAAAACGAGAGAATCACTACAAGTCCAATCTGTGTAGTGAGACCCTGTAGGCTCTGTACTAAATATATAAAAATAAAGTGATAAAATAAAATAGATCCTTTCCTGGAACTTGAGGGAGAGGAAAGGAGAGCTAAGTGACTAAGATTTTTTTTTAATTTTTTTTATTTATTAGAGAGAGAGAGAGAGAGAGAGAGAGAGAGAGAGAGAGAGAGTGGTGTGTGTGTGTGGCCAGCTCAGCCCACCAGAGGGCGGGGCCGGCTGGCAGGTGGTGCTGTGGGATTGAACCGCGGTCCCTGATGCTTTGCTAAGCTTGTTCTAAGTAGGTGCTTTAGACCACTGAGCCATCTCTCCAGCCCGTGACTAAGATTTTTTAGTAGGGATAAAAATGCTCTGGAATTAAAAAGTGGAGAATGTTATACAAACTCATGAATACACTACACATCACCAAGTTGCGCTCTATGCTATGGAACTTTTAGGGTATGTTCCAAAAAGAAAAAGGCATGTTGTAATAACACAGTACCATTAAGCATTACTGTAAGGACACAGTACCACAAGTACCATTAAGGTCCAGTCATGCTGGAAGATACAAAAAGAAATGAATGTCCTGGATCTACCTTGATAAAAAAAAGTCACAGTGAGTCAGTGGTAAGGCTAGAGCCCAAGGATCTTTTCCTTCATGACTGAGACAGACAGGACACACCCAGCTCTCTCATTTTTCCTTCCTTCCCTTTGCTTCCCCTTGCTCCTATTAGACAGGGACAGTTGGTATCAGTGTCCTCTCTGTCTGTGAAACCTCCATTTTCCACTTCAACGGGAGTGCAGGACCACATGTGGAGGGCAGCATTCAGAGACGGTTGCATAATAGCAGAGTTCTTTGTGCGTGTAGTTCCGGCAGTCAGAAAGTGAGGAGAAGCTGGAATGAAGGTGTATGTCTATTTTCCAGAGGCACAGAAATTATTCCTGGGTTATTTTACAGAGGAAAATATTCTGGAGCTTGTTGATAGGCACTGGAATACCAAGATTAGACCCAAAATGAAAAGGTTATTGAAAAGACTGAAAACAGAATTGGTGACTCAATCAACATCTTGTTTCTGCCAGAGGACGTTAGAGGTCAGTGCTGATGAGGAAACAGGAGGCGAGAGCTGCCGTGCTGCGAGCTGGCAATGTGAGGTCGTAGACATCAGGAAAACTTCCTACCCCCTCATCATATGCTTCAGGGAACTGTAACTGCCAGCCTCAACATAGACAAGGCTTTCTAAGGAAGACCAGACTGATTCCAGCCTCTAGTTTTGCCTAATAGTAAAAGTATCTTACTTATATACACATGTGTCGGTGTGCAATGAAAAATCAAACATTGCAGGATGTTTTATATGTAGAAATTATTTGAGATGATAACTTCATCTTTTATCGAGGGCCAACTGTAGTTAATAGAAAAACTTGCCAAAAGACAAATGAAATACATTGTTTAGCATCATATACTAAAATTAAAAGCTAGTTTTGAGAAATTATTCAGAAACCACATTATTTTAAAAATTGAAAGTACTTCGGACGTATCCCTAACATTGATTTACTCCCCCTGTATGAGTATGAGTTAAAAGCTTACAACAGCAGCATGTCCTGTCTCTCCCGGTATACAAGAGGCAGACATGTTTCTTTCTGCTCCGAAAGAGCAAAGTTGGGAAAGAAAATTTAACTCAAGTCCTGATCAACCACGTATCTGTTAATTAAGAAGAAACTGGCTAATGATGGTGTAGCAGCCACAGCAAATACTTGCCTTACCACATAAAAAAGGTATACTTCCTATAACAGCTATAATAGAAGTGTTGTCATCATGGATCTTATAGTTACCTAACTATACCACTGTAATATATATATATATATATATATATATATATATATATATATATATATATAATTTTTAAGTAATTTTACCTGTCAGTCTGGAACACCAAGGAGAGCCCTAAGACATAGTATTTTCCTTGAAGGGAATGTGAGAAATGTTCATTTCATGACATTATTTGTGCTGGTTCAATTCTAAGGTCAACTCCATGTTGTGTTTAAGAAAAGCACTTTCTTCAGTGAAGAAAGGTTTTAGGAAGAGACGCTGAAATAGAGAACATGTGTTTCAAGTACTTTTTATTAAGCCCAAAAATTAAACATCGACTGACTTCTGTTTTGATCTTTTTCGGCATTTTACTTGCCTGCTAAATTCTAAAGTCTGGGTGGTGAATGTCTTACAGTGTTGGTAGGTAAGCTCGGAGGTGGAGGTATCAGTGGCCAAGACAATATGCCAGTTCGGTCAAACGCTGTTGATGGTGGCTTTGGAAGGACATTCCTTCCTTTTTGGCCTTCGCCTTGTTTTTAAGTGGTTCAGCTCTATATCAACACCTTCCAGGCGAGGACTTTTTCCAGAGAAGCTTGTTAAGCATCTAGATTCTAGCCCATTTCCTCAAAATAACCCAAAATGAACAGCACCAGGTACTACCTCCCTGTCCCATCTTACTGTCTCTACCTCAATACCACTCAATACCAGACCTGTAGCCTCATGCATGGACTGCTTCTGAGCTTTCACTCGCACTTCAAAAATTACCTCTAGGGAATTTACTCAGGTCTCGACATTGTTTCAAACTGATGACCATAGACTCTGTTATATCCATTGTAAGTAATGTTTGTGGATGTCTCTGCTTGTTTGCCTAAATTAGGAACACGTAAAGAGCAGCTGCTGTGTCTTGTCTTTCTTCTTGTAATCCCCAGCACACTCCTACTATAGTGTGTGCCTCAATTTGTGTGGCACTAATAATTAATATGTTAACATATTATTTGCCCATGAAAATCCTTTAATCAACAAAAATAGTGGATATTTATTGTGTACTCTTGGTTGTAAATGACAGGAACAAGAGCATAGGGCCTGGATGAGAATGAGAAAGCCTAAAAAGGCACTTATCTCTGGGACTCCAGTCAGTTCTGTGTGGGAATGAGAAGAAGGGACAGGTAACACAGGAGGAAGTAAAGAATCCCCAAATGAGGACACAGGTCCTGGAATGAGTCCCACTGGCCCTGCCACCTACTTCACCCCAGGTGGCAGCCTGTCATCCAGTAGGAGAGTGGTCTGTCTGCACAGTGCAACTTCCATCTCACCCTGTGGAGGAAAAAAATCATGGTTCTTATTGCAACCTATTAGATTCTCCACAACCTCACCCAGGTCCTGGTGAGTTTCCCTCCAGAGAAATGCCCACGCCAGCCTCATTGCTGTCCTTCAAATTTCCCCCATGTTGGCTATTTGGTCTCTTCCCCCATTCAGTAAGCATTCACGTTTTCAGGTCATTTCTCCCTTTCTCTTTCTCTGTCTCTCTCTCTGTCTCTGTCTGTCTCTGTCTCTGTCTCTCTCTCTCTCTCTCTCTCTCTCTCTCTCTCTCTCTCTCTCTGAAAGTAGGCAGACTGCTTTATAAGGACTGATAGTTACTTTTAAAAAAAATCCCAGGTAGGCAGAATGTGGTGGCCCACACCTATAATCCCAGAACTTGGGAGGCTGAAGCAGGAGGATCATTGAGTTCAAGACTAGCCTGGGCTGAGCTATAAAGTGAGCTCAAGACCAGCCTAAACTGTAGAGTGAGCCCCTGTCTCAAAAAGGCAAAAAAAAAAAAAAAAAAAAGTCTCAGGTGCCATCACCGACACTCTTCCAACACTTTCAGAAGGCTAAGACCTAATAGTTATCAATGGCCTTCCTGTACAGCGTTTTGAATCTGCAGAGCTCCCAACTTCTTCTATGCTCAGAGTCACCTGTAGCAGCACTCAGGGGCATTATTTATATCCCTAGTTTCTAAATATGTCCAGAAAAGGTGAGTGACCCTCTGAATGATCATGGCTCAGTAATTGAAGGATGTGAGGGACTCTGCTCAGCTGATGAGCCCCACACTATTAACAGAAAACATTGCCCTTTGTAGGGAGTGGGCCTCTGCTGTAACCCTATTTGTATTCAACTCTCCCCCTGCTATTGCTGATTGAGCTAAGAGGAAACATATGGCCCAAGCTAGACTGCGCAGATCCGACTCCAAGGCCTTGCATGAGTACTGAGCCTAGCCGATCCCTTGGGTTGCTTTGCTCATAAACTTGGGCACCTGTCATTTGTGAACTGTAGGCAGACCAAGCACCAACAAAAGCAGAAACCTGCCCTGGGAAGCTTCTGAGTTGCCCGTATTGGTTCTGTTCAGTTCCATCCCTGAGGCTCAGCTCAGTGGGCTCAGGGAGACACCCACCTCCTCTCAGAATAAGTTTCCCTCGGCTAGCTCAAATGACTGTTACTTCAACCCAAAAAGTTTGATTTAATATAATATCAGAGCAAGAACCAAACCTAGGTTTGCTAACTCTAAGTCCAAAGCTCATCCACATTTCTCTAGACTGCTACAAGTAGTGCCGAGGATTCCCTCCTCTGTCATGTCTTGCTTCTTGGATATCTGCCAACTAACTTGGTCCCAGTGTGTTCCCCTCACCAGTTCTTCATGCCCCCTGATCCAGACATAATCATCTTAGCGCAGTTGATGGATGAGAGAAGGTTGGGGTTCAGCACATCTGAAAGGGAGGAAGAGAACACAGAGGATGGCAAACTCCAGTCCATCTTGCATAGGACCTGCCTCTCAGGCCTCAATCTTTTTCAGGTCGGAAAAGCTTCCCTCTCTGGTGCAGTGAGATAACCTTCAATAGCTGCTGCCTATAAGGGGCTTGGGGGAGCCTGGAGCAAGAGGGGCAGGGGGACTAGGTCTGGGCTGTCCATGCTTTTCTTTCTGGCCAGGGTTAGGGGGTTCAGCCAAAGTTTGCAAGGTCTCTAGGGAGAGAAAATGCCAAAGCAGGCAGCCGAGATCAAGATAAAGTCCTGTCATGGAGGAGGCTGTTCAGGCCAAGAGTCCAGGGACATCAGCCAGAGCAGAAAGGAGGAGATAAAGTGCAGAGTCATGGGCCCTGGCAAGCCTCTTGGATCGGCTCTGAAGTGAGGAGGCTGCCCTTGGACTTTAGCCAGACTGTTAGCCTAAGTATGACTGAGTGCTTAGAACTAGTTGAGCAGCATTCAGTACCTAGTCTCAGTTTGCTTATTTATAAAGCAGAGGTTTATGATGAAATAAGCTCTGATTGTAAAACGTCTAATACACAATGCACTCTCCACCAATTGGCTGCTGAAGCTGCTTTGCTACTCCTGGCTGCTCAGAGCCTTTCAAAACCCTCAGGCTCAAGGTATCTGCTGAGCTTCCTGCATGAGGGCCATCAGGCTAAGCCTCAGCTCGGTAAAGGAGCCCCTGATTCTCTCAAGTGTCCAGCTACACATGCCCTGGTTGTGGGTAGGATGAGAGGTCTGTGAGTAGACTTTGTCTCCTCTCTCATCTCTCCCACCCTGGGGCCCTGGGCAGACCTTGACAGTCCACGTGGCAATAGTTTTCCGAGTGACTCTGGTAGTCGTTGCACCAATAGTGACTGTTGATCTGGAAGATTCCGTAGTCAAAGCTGCCATCTGCATTTTCATTTACCTTTGATATGTTAAAGTTGCTTTCCACAAAAGCCAGGCACAACCCTTAGAATAGGAAGAAGAGGGTTAGGATTTGGAGAGGACCAAGCTGAGTGAGAAGGGAAATAGCAGAGAAGGAAAAAAAAAAAAAAAAGCAATAAGAAGAAAGGAACATGGCCTGATAGTCTAGAAAAGGCTTGAGAGCTAGCAAGATCCATGGACATCTCCTCTCATCCTTGGGTTCATCCATCAGTACAGGATCGTCCTTCCATGCTTTCTGTACATGATGAGCACCTATGTGCCAGGAATTACACAAAGCCCAGCAAGGAACATTTATCTGGGTCAAACACAGACGTTGCCTCCCAGGTGCCTTGCACTTGCCTGAAGTGCAAGAATTACAATATTTTCCTTTAAAAAACACAGTGAATGACACAAGGAGAAAGTGTCACAAGATAAGTGTGCCCAAACGTCATGGCAGAGAGAAATAATCTCTACCTCTCAGGAAGAGGAAGCCTTTCTACTGACTATTCCTCTTTCCCAGATGTTCTTCCCTCAGGCATGTGGATGACTGGGTATCTCCTTTTGTGCAGTGCTGCTTAATATGGCTTCTCCACCTAGAAGAATGCCATTCCCTCTGCTTTACTCTTCTTTAAGCATTTATCAGCACCCGCTGTGGGCGTGTGTGTGTGTGTGTGTGTGTGTGTGTGTGTGTGTGTGTGTATTTATTGCTGCTCTGAGATGTGAATGCTATGAAAGAAGGAACTTTGTCTTTAGAACCATAAACAGTTCTTGGTACACAACAAGTGCTCAGTTAATAATTGGAGAATCAATAGGAGTGTTGGGAAAGACGTCTTGGGTGTGCTTTTCCTAACTTTGAAAGATGATGGGAGAAAAGGAACATGGCTGCTAGGCATGAATTGAGAGGAGGAAAAGGGGAGGGGCCAGAGAAGTGGCACTCACAGTCACTCAGGGAGTAACCCTCAAAGCCATCCAACTGCTCCTCATGCAGAACCTTGGCCAAGTCACAGCGTCTGATGATGAAGGCCCGATTGGCCATGAGGAGGCAGCTGGCCAAGGAAATAAGCAACACGCTGGTCATCCTCTGAGGGGAGGGGGCCCCAGCAGGGCTTACCGCTCTGGTGTCACAGACTTCTGCTGGGCTTCCTGGAGAGCCTAGAGAAACCCGAGAGGGCAGACAAATTTTCTTCACTTACTACTGCTCACCACCAACTTTCAGTCTCTTTTCTCTTCTTCTTTATTTTAGAATGTTTTATCACAAAAAAATTTAAACATTTACCAAAGGAAAGTAAACTTTTGCCCAACCACCCTTTTTCCAATTTCAATAGTTAAAAACCAAGGCAAATCTGGTTTCATCTGAAGATCCTCTGGTAATGGGCATCAGCTGAGAGTGACGCTGCATGAAGGTGGAGAATGAAGTTGACAGAAGAGACTGAGGAAAACTGTGCTTCACCAACATCTCCACATGCATATTTGGTCATGTGCTTCCAGAAGAAGGGCTAGATCATTGAGTGCTAATCCTCAAGCCCAACCTCCATTTGGACACAACTTTCCCTGAGGTCACACCCTGCCTCATGCAATCCCAAGTGGGTTCCTATGTTGTCACTCCTATTCAAAAGTATGTATCAGGGCTGGCCTCATAGCTTAGCAGACTCAAGTGCCTGCTTAGGCAGACCGCAACGACCAGGGTTAGATCCCCAGTGCACCATGCTGGCCCTGCCCACAGGGCGCAATGAGATGGTGATTGAGACGGCATGGTGGCACTCGCCTGTAATCCCAGAACTTGGGAGTCTGAAAACAGGAGAATCACTACTAGTCCAACCTACGTAGTGAGACCTTATAGATCCTATAGACCCTGTCCTAAATATAGAAAAAAATATATATGTATCTGAAAGCAACAGAGCAATTTGGCATAGGAATAACCTTCATTTTATGAGAGAGAGAGAGAGAGAGAGAGAGAGAGAGAGAGAGTGTTTGTGTGTGTGTACTGAAAATCAGGGCTTTGGATTCACATTGCCTGCTTTCAAAGGCTATATTGTCGTATGACTAGACAACATATTTAATCTTGCTGACAAAATGAAATACACTAACATCTACATAATACATAAGACATAATAGGAATAATGATTAAGTATAATAAATTCTCACACTTTGGTTTCACATTCCCCACAAAATGGAACCAGGACTCCCTGAAATATGACAAGTCCTTCAGTAGGAACAAGGAAGGGATTATCCTATAGATAATTCTGGATTATCTTCTTATACCATAAATTATTAAAATGCTCAAATAGTATTGGGGCAGTCAAATCAACATAAGAACTATATCTAGGGTGGCCAGGGAGATGGTTCAGGGGAATAAGCGCTTCCCTGGCAAGCACAAGGGACTGAGTTCAATCCCTGGTTCTGAAAAAAAAAAAAAAAAGAACTATATCTAAAGAATATCAGCTAACCAAATCTGGAACAATATTTTTCTACCAGATTTATTGAGATATTAGGTACAATATATAATTCATCATTTAAAATGTATAAACCAATAGTTTTTAGTATTTTTGCTGAATTGTACAACTATCACCACAGTGAATTTTAAAACATATTCCCACAATAAACCCAAATAACCCAGAACAAAACCCTGTACCCATTCACATTCTGCAGTCATCATAGATCAGTCTGAACAAGAATCATCTGTAGGTGGTAAATTTGAGGAGGTAGGAAGGATGAAGACCTGGACATGCACGTGGTCTCAGTCTCCCTACAGGTTTCTTACTTGTTGCACCAGGAAAACAGCAATCATGCAGTAATTAGATAGACAGTGTTTTGACTGTGCATTCAAAATTAACTTCATTGGTGAGTATATCAGAACATTGTGCTTCCAGGTACAATGCCCTGAGAGGGACACAATACCTCTAGGCGCTCTTCTGGACAAGGACACATACTCTGGCTCTAATCCTGAGGAAGAAAAACCAAATTGGTGGGAAAATCTGCCAACTAACTCAGCGGTATTCAAAATGGTCAATACTGTGAAAACAAAAATTGAGGCTATTTTTGTCACAGAGATGTCTGTCTTTCCTCTTAAACGAGGGGTATTGCTGAACACCTAAGGCCTAAATTCCTTCACCCTGCAACTGGAGTGCCCAGCAGCTGTGGTATGACAAGATGTCCTCTTTTGTGGGCTTGCTTCCTGTCTGGGCTCTTCTCTCTTCTCACTCCACACCAACCTGAGTTTGAGGACATTCTTTTGTGCTTCTCACTGCCCTCCACCCTAAAATTGCTAGATTCAGAAAATAAATTTACTATGCCCATTTAGAATGCCAGCCAACAACAAATGACTGCTTATTGTGTGTTTCACACACCCCTCCACTTGGCCTCAGCAGGTTCCCTCAGAGTTGATGTCTCTGAGCCTTGGGAGGCCAGGAGCTCCAACTCTGCCCACTTAAAACCCTCTGGGGACCTTCATAGGGAAGACAGGGGTGCTAGTACCTGTATCCACAGTCTTCCCTGAAGCTTACCTTTCTCCCATCCCTCTTTGGCCCCAGATCACAGTCAGCACAGGACTTTCGGAGGGGATCTGTAGAACAAAGCAGTTTGAATCAGGAACTTCCCCTCTTCACCACTTACTCCAGCTGTGCCCAGCTAATGGCTCTTCTTATTCTAAAGAGGGCTAGAGTGCTGGGCGACCCTAGCCTTCTGGAACCCTGGTTTTGTGACATCACCACCCTCATACACTGGCCTGAAACATGGACACTGGCCAAGTTTCAGAGAGACATGGCAGATGGGTTTGGAAGATGAGATAACAAGTATGAGGGACATCACTTGAAAGTACAGGGTTCAGACTGCCAAGCCCCTTCCTTTCCAGGAATAAGAAACCTTTGGAGAACTTGTTCTCCTGAAGAGCTTCAGTGGGGGCTGCTGGTCACAGGATCCTGCCCTCAGGCAGCAGGGGGTGTCTGTACCTCAGTGCTAGAGTTTGAATTGGATCTCTGGGAGGGCAGCACAACTTTTTACCGGAAGCCCTCAGGTGCAGGCCAGAGCCGCAGTGTAAATATGTGGACACGGCTCGCCTGAGAAGTGAGGCCTCCATGAAGAAGGTCAGCGCCTGAGTCCCGTGCCCAAATCCAACCTTTTCAAGGCCCAAATATAACCTCTTCCTCAACAAATGTTACTTCTGTCATGAACATGTTTGAACAAGGTTTCCATCACTTGGAACTAAATGGAATCTACTTATATTAGTTAGCATTTCTTTGTAACGGTGACTTTACAGCAGAAATCCTGACCTAACTGCGGCCATTTTGTTCAGTCAAGCTACAGTCATTCTGTCCTCTGCCACTGAATTCAGCTAAATCCTATGATTTGTTGTCAAACTGAAACATCTGCAAATGTGCTAACAATAACTGCTACACACAGCAGTGAGCACACAGCAGTGCTCACAAGGGTCAGTACTGTAACTCTCAGCTATGCTTATCTTAACTTCTGTAACTCCCACTTGCCACCCTATTAAAAAATTTTTAAAAAAAACTTTCTTTAATCAGTGTCTCAGACTTTTGAAACTACTCCCCTGGAGTCAACCAGCGTTTCTTTCTTGTCTTAACTCCTGGCTACTGTTGACTCGCCTTTCCCACAACAGTTTCTGGTGCATTCAGCTGGAAAACAAGAGCACAGCCATATCCTGGCATGGCCCTAGCTGTGCACCCAGGGGCCGGTCTCCCCCTGCTCCATGTCCCAGTAGCCTTCTGACAGGGAGCTGCCTTTTTAGCTCAGCTCAAAGGTCCCTTTAGGACAATGACTGGGTGGGACACCCCACCTCCATTCTCAGCTCTAAAGGAAAATGAAACAAAACCATCAAGACTTCTGAATCACAGTGACACTGTCCTGAATTGTTCTGTTGGTAGGCTTGTCTCAGTGGACAAAAGAGAAGCTTGATCACCCTAGTTTCTGTTTTCCAGGTAGAGGGTGGAATGCTTTAACCTCTAAATGAATGTGTGAGTGAATGTACCCTGGCCAACCCAGCTGCTTTGGATGTTCTTCTGTATAGCTCCACAGCTTCAGCTATGGAGTTCAAGTGATCTTATCTTGTGTGTCCGCGGCCTGTCACACAACTGAAAAGTGACTCCCACCACTGTAATGGGGTCACTGACCTGGCCTAGGATCCCAGGTGCACATCTGGCTAAGACAGACCTTCATCCCCAAGGAAGGTACAGCCAGGCAAGCATCTGACTGGTTCTCTCTCAAAGAGGGCGCCCCACCCTTGTCTGTGCATCTCCAAACAAGGAAATACCGCATACATGTAGGAAGTCAGAAGGGGATCTACTCAGTCAAAGCCTACAGTTCTGGAGTATATCCTAAAGAATTTTTAAAAGGGGCTTTTCTGGTGACTATGGGGTTAAAGTAAAAACCAAACTGGCTCCAAGTCCTCAATGAAATCAAGGGCCTGAGACTCACTCCAACCTGTCACCCTTAAGAGATATTAGCTTAAAGGGAAATTGAAAGAGTCCAGGACACAGTGATAGAGCCAGGGACCAAAGACCATCCAGGCCCATTTCCCTACACAGACTCCTGAATAAATTTGCCCTGAATCTTCTGCCCACTGCCTGTGCCCAGGCACCACTGTGCTGAGTCCACATGCTGTGCAACTCTGCTCACTCCCCAACCAGCATCTGATTCTTCTTTACCCAGTCCTCCACCAGTCTACCCGCCATTACCTTGGCACATTCTGTCACTCCCAACCCCAATTCATTGGTAACTGACAGCTTCCCCAATGTTGACCCTGCTTCCCAAATAGGGCAAATTGCAGAAAGTAAATACACTGTTGTGTGCAATCCTGTGCACACCATTCTTCTAGTAAGCCTATCTAAAACTTTCCCATGTCAATAACTCCCAATCGGGAAACACTTGAAGCCTTTCACTTGTTTCCATGATAAAGTTTCCCGCCCCTCTGCTGTCTTTGAGTCTCTGAAAAATATACGCAACAGTGGCTATCTGTCCTACTACAGCAGCTCTGAATAAATGACCTGGCTCATTCTCATTTGGATGGTCTTTGTTTCCTCAAGCCCAAATTCCCTCTCTCCCTTCCTTTTCCAGAACACACCTCATGTACTGCCAACCCCAAGGCATCCAGGGAAACCCATCAGAGGTATGGGGTGGCTCTGATGACTACCTACCTGTGTGGTCTGTGTCTAAACAGCTATCTGGCCAAGTGGACTTATCTGAAAGTGCTGGCATTAAGTCCAGCATTCTGCTTGAGCCTCTTCCCTGCAGTCTAGATCTAGCAGAGGACAATGGTCTGACTGTTTCACCCATCTATCAATGTGAGCATGGACATACCTCAGGCTGGACAGTCGCCGCAGCATGGGATATAGGGGCCAAGGGGCATGTGGAGTAGGGGGTGCAACTCACAAATCCACAGACCAAAAAAGGTGGGAGGAGAAAAACATACCTTGCTGCATTCCAAGACTTCTGATCCTGGAAAGAAACCACTTATTAAAAATTACAGAGGAATTTTTTTTATGAGCCTTGTTGTTTTTCCTTCTATTTTCTTCATTGGTTTTAGGAATTGTGGAGTTTTTTTCTCTTCTTTTTTCCTTATCTGCTTTTAACTGTTTTCCTTTCCTTCTTTTTCTTTTCAGACACACAAGCTTACATACAACATGGTTTCTCTTCTATGGGAAAGCCAACATACAAAGAGCAAAATAAATAAAAGATAACAGAAAGTAGGGAGAGATTTCTCAGAGGAGAAGGGATCAAGAGATTGAGGTAGGAGGAACAGAGGGAAGGGAAAGGGAATAAAAATGAAACTAAGATGTGTTATGTACATACATTTAACAGCTCTGCACTGGAATGCAAGCGTTATATACTGCCAGCATGTATTAAAAAAGAAAATGATCCCAAAATGCACATTTTTTTTAAATTCAATTTTATTTTATTTTGAAGAGTAAAAACAGAAAAATAAATAGAAGAAAGACAGAAACAGGGTGTCTCAGTTACTTTTTACTCGTTGCTGGGACAAATACCCGACACCCAAAATGAAGGAAGAAAAGGTTTATTTAGCTCACAGTTTGGGGAGGTTTCAGACTATACTCGGCTGGCTCCCAGGCAGAGTGGCACATGGCAGACAGCAGCAGTTCGAGGTGGCAGATATGAGCAAAGAGCAAGGGGAAGGGGGGCTGCAGCTTGTAGCAAGCTTCTCTCTCCTGTTTACATTGTAAACAAGCTCCCCTGGGGTGGGGTGTAGGACTCCCACAATGTCCATACCCTCCTCTTGCACAGGATGAGGATGTTTACAAACTAAGAATCCTGGCTCCCTGCTGAGTCACTTAATTAAACTTCTGAACTTCTCAATTTGACACACTATATCAACTATATGTACTGGTTGATATATGTATTATATCCTGTAATATTGTTGTATATTACAGGATAATATACAGCAATACATACCTTACAAATTTTCAAAACAGGAAGAGCTAATTAACAATGGTTGTTATATTATTTACTTTTATGGTCAAATATGTTGCTCAGATTAACAGATATAGTTATGCAAGATTGAACAAATAATTGAATATTAATGCTTGCTTTCAAGAAATCTTGATTTTTTTCTTGCCTTTTTTAACCTCTTTTT